GCAACCGGCCAACTTTATTGTCTTCGTGTTTTGGTGAATAATCGTCAAACAACCTCTATAAATCGAAAGCAGACTGCGACCACACAAATGCCACACCACCTTGGTCTTCTTATCTTATTTATTACAGCTATAAATATGATATTATACTTATTTTTTATTCCACCTCTGATTAGTAACATTTCATGCATTATCCCAATGCCACTATACATAAACCTATGAACAAGAAGTATTATTTAGGTTTTGATACAATTCCAGCGGTATTTAACTCTAACATTCTCGCACATTCTTTAGGATGCAACTTAAATCATAAAGACCGAGATGGCCGAACGGCTCTCTGTGTAGCCGCCCTTTGTCAGCCTTCTTCAGCCCGACATGTTGCAGCTGTCGCCTGCCTGCTGAACCATGGTGCCGACGTTCGCCTCCAGGATAATGAGGGAATTTCGCCTCTACTTGGGTCGTCACATGTTGGGCTTCACGAGATGTGCGAACTGTGTCTAGATGCCGATGCACTTATTGACCAGCCTGATAAGTGAGTTTTTCACATCTAAAGCCTAGCTTTTGACTCGCTGTACAGGAAGCGATGGATTCATCGTACTTTATCATATTCTCCTAAACCTTACAGTCTATGTGTCTTTGGTCTAAGTATGTAATCAGCTGTGCATTTGAGACTTTGTGTTATATTTAGAGTTTCCATTCTATTCATGCAAAGAACTCCGAATAATGGGGGGAGGCTGCTTCGCAAGCGTTTTCATGTCTTAGTAACATGACTAATTTTTTGGAAGAAATTTCTTTAGAATTTGTTTTTAAATTCTTTTGTAAGTTAAATACTTGGTATTATGTCGAAAGCATGTATTCTCCTCCTACAATCCTACATTATGTATTGTATAATAATTACGTGAGCTATTATTATTTTAGAAGTTGTTTGACCTTGTTTTCACAAGTTGGTCATATTTTCAAGAAGACCTAGAGAAACTCACCTTGGCGGAGTCCATTGTATGCATGATAATTTCTAAAGTCGGACCGTGGACTTGGTACATTCTCAGACGTTTTGCCGGCACGGTGGTCGGCATCGTAAGTAAGGCTTGCCATTCTTAGCATCACAATTAACTCGTCAAACAACTTATATTAAAAGAAAGGAGACCGCGACTATACAAAAGGCGACACCATCTTGGTATTTATACCTTCGTATTAACCTTCGTATCAATAACTTGATTTAACAATTAACTTCTAAAAAAAGTTAGTTTACCAACTCATCTTTGTGGCATAAAAATAAGATGTCCGTAGCGCTAGTGGAATTTCCCATTATGAAATGCGTAAAAGGCCTCATATTAGGAAATTCACTTTTATGTGCTTGTATCGTTTAAGGTGAAACAAGATGATTCTGTCTTTAATTTGAGATCTATCGATCTTTTACCTCATATAAAAACTGAATATTTGTACCTCATTGCAATTTTTTCATTTTTCATTTTTATACCCTTTTGAAATTGAAATAATGACCTTACCTAAAAAAATAATAATTTTGGTATTTTGACTATCACTGAATAGTTTCGTAAAGCTACACTATAAATTACTTTTTAATCTTCATGCTAAGTCTCTTATTGATCAAAATATTTTCCCTCATAATAGTTGGTGAATCCTATAATTCGTTAGAGGAGAGAGTAACTTAAATTTATTAATATACTTTTCTACTTCGTATTATTAAATTGCCAACTTCTTCTTAAAGTTCGATTGCCATTTGGATTAGCTATATATAACTAACAAACTATTTTGTTTTAATGAATATATCAAGATCAAGATATTGTGGCTTCTATTTTAATCGTAGTCTGCTTTCGATGTATATAAGTGGGCTGATATCGTTTTCGCAACTTGGTAGTATTGCCAGGGCAATCAAGTTGGATGCACCCTGTCTGAAGTCCTCTGCTATAGTAGTTTTGAGAATTCTCAGCGTTGAACCGTGGACTTGGAATATTCTCAGAAGTTTCGCCGCAATCGTAATCGGCATTGAAATTGAGTCTAACCACTCTTAGCACCAAGATACAACTCGTAAAGCCGACTAGTGAAATCAATCCCTTTACCAACTTTCTCTCGAACGTTTTGCTATCACTCTTCTTTTTGTCCTGGTATATCTACCTACT